ACTAACGGACACATGGGTTGCGTCCACACTTTGGCTGTTGTGTTAATGCTGTTGTGAACCTAAGTGTACAAATATCGGTTTCATTCAAAGTGTTGTGGGCCAGAGTCAAAGTCAGCCAAGGAAGGAGTTGCATGTCTCTCACAAGCAGGTGTGTCTTATGTCCCCACTGAGTTCTGTCATCAAGGGGCATGGCCTTGAGGCAGCTGTGGGGTAGCCTAAAGCCAGCAGTTGGGGGAGGGGCCCTTAGTTACATTCCCTCATAGAAACTGGGCAAGGTGCATCATCATAGCTGTCACACCCTGTGACATCTTTCTGGATCTTTCTCTCTATTGCTGGTTCCCACAGGTACATTCTGCTGTCCCAGAGCTGTTTGTAGAAATCTCCGCTGCTGCAGCTACCATCCTAAGAGCTGTCCCTGGTTGTGCCCAAGTTTACAGGCTTTGGGACGTGGGGGAGGGATTCCTCAGTGCCCCGTGTGATCTCTTGGGTTTGAATCTCTGTTCATGCTCAGGGTGTCAGAAGTCCCTCTTAAACATTTTCATGAACTGCTTCAAAATCTTTTCCCTGTGGACGTTGCAAACCAGTCCAAGGAACCTGCTGGAGGGCAGAGCCCATTCCCTCTCCTCCTTCATCTGGATTCTTCTCACCAAGTTTCCCCCTCTTGTTCCATGCTACTCCCTGCACCCTGTCCCAATCCAAGTTATGAGTGAAGCTCTTTTTTTTTTTTTTTTTTTTTGTGGAACTGTAGAAGAACAGACACCAGTGTGAGGGTGATGTGATGGGAAGAGAGAGAGAGAGTGTGTGTTTACACTGTTGTTTCCAAAGCTGGTTGGGCCCTGATATTATCCAGGGAGCTTTTTAAAAGCATGAGTTCCCATGAGCCCTACCTCCTGAGATTCCGATTCATCACAGAAATGACGAGGGTAGTGGAGAAGGAATTTTCCGGGTGAAACATGGGGGATTGGTAAGTCCTCTCGGGCAGAGGGTGCAGCAGGGACACCAGCAGGAAGCCAGGAAGGAGAATGGTGTGCTCAGGGGCAGACAGCGGATGTGGCTGGATAGAAGCTGGGTGGTGCCAGGCTTTGGAGGTGAGCCACTTGTGGGCAGGGCCCTGGAGTGCCACATGGATGGGTTTGGACTTGATCCCATGATGTCTGCTGCCCGCAAAAAGTTGCTTTCAAGTGGTCAAAGCAAGCAATCAACTTAACACTTGGAACACAATCAGCAATTACCAGCTGAAGCTTGTAGGGATTCCCTAGAGGCAGGTGGACACCTGTTGGAGAAAGCCAGTTTACTTCCTGGGAATTCATGGGAGGTTACTGGAGGTGGACCTTCCTGGCAGTTCTTTTGGTTTACATGGTGGTGCAGGATGTGGCTGTGACTTCTAGGGAGAACTGTGCAATGCGCTGAGAGAGGAAACTGCCTGGGGCCACTGGATTGCTCTGACTTCCTAGTTTTCCTTCAAGGGCAAAAGAATGAAGTCAGTAACAGTTTCACTTCAGCCATATATTTTCTCTTCCTAACACTTTCAGATTTTAGCTGTCCTACAACTGAGATTTCACCATCACTTTAGACTGTCCCACAACTGAGAAGCCACAGTGAAACTAGAACTAGATGCCAAAGTGGCATCTCTTAGAGATAGGCCAGGATCTTGAAGGATCCTGGGTGGGATCTTGGGCAATTCAGTTCAACAGATAACTCACTTTGTACTTATTTTGTGCAAGCCATTAGAAATTAATTAAAAATTCTCCTCTGAGCTGGGGGTGTAGATCAGTGATAGATTCATATTTAGCAGCATGAGGTTTCAATCCTTAGCATCAAAAAAAAATTCTTTTCTGAACTTCCAATTCTCCATTTGCAAAATGGTAATGTTGTATTCATCTGTTACCTCCTGAGAGGCGATATACTATTGTGGGCAATAGCTGGGCTTGGCATCAGGGTTCCAATTCCAGCTCCACCACTTCTTAGCAATGTGGTCTTAAGCTCTTCCGTTTCCTTAGATGCAAAATGGGAATGAGTCACTGAGAATTTTTATAAAGATACAGGAGGCAACATTTGACACAATCTATGACCAGAGTAAGTGTTCAAAAATGAAAAATTTAAAGTGTTGTCCATGGTATACATTTATGGAGGTAAAGGCCCTGGGTGCTGTGGGCCAAATAGGATGTATTAGGCTGAGAGCAATGGGAACCAACTCAAACCAAATCAAACCCTGATCATACCGCAGTGCTCACACATATGACAGTCCAGGGTTTAGGGGGCCTTTGTGGTTGACTCAAACCAAAGAATCCTGTTGATTCTCCTGGCTCTGCCCTCCCCAGTCTGGTAGTGAAATATCTGGCTCTGCACACATGCATGACAATGCCCAGAGGAAAAGCGAAAGGATGTTTCTAGAATTTTTCCAAGAAAGGGAAGAAGAAGAAACCCCTCCCAAATTCACAAGACTCCATATTGGGTCACATGGCCTACTGTAGGCCAGGAGTGAGGAGTTATCCATGGGCTAAATCATCCCAGCTGCTGGGGGTGACTCCTCTTCTGAGGTAAGAGCTCTAAGGGGGCGAGGGGACAACTAAACAAAGTCGTGGCTCCCAGGAAGGAGGAAGAGGTAAGTGAGTGCTGGGTAGACAACTATTTTAGTGGAGACATTTTGGATCCTGATGCTGAAAATAAAGAATATTATTGGTAGTGAATCCTTATAATCTCGTGGCATCTTGTAATTTTCAGGGGGCTTAATTTATAGCCATTTTTTTTTCTCTAGGAATGTTTTGGGAAACTTCCTAGCCACTATGGTTACTAAACCTCTAGAACTTTCTAAAAAAAACTTTTTAAGATGCTGGAGGTCTAACTCAGGGGCCTCAATCATGCTGGGCAAGCATTCCACACTGAGCTAAGTCCCCACCCCCAACACCTCGGTTTTAACAGCGGTTTCAGTGTCTTCTCTTCTGGCTGTGGAGTAGTTTGAAAAGGGCTGAATTTTATTAACAAGTCCAATTCCTTTCTTAGCATGATCTGAGGCTGGATCTGCTGTGGACCTGCTGTTATCAGCATCTTTGTATGAGATGGTCACAAATCACCTCAGCGAATCCAGGGGTTTCCCATGGCCTGGTCAACGCACTCAAATGGGATCATGCAGAAAGCCTGGCAATCTATTCATAGGGTTCCTTTAGCCTTCTTGGTTTCAGTGAAGTAAGAGCAATTCAGTTAGCTGTATAGATTTGAAGTTAGGACCTTAGAGATGATCTAGTCCAGTGGTACCAAAGTCTTTGAGTAGATATTGGTCCCCATTAAGTGTACAAATTTGAATGTGCATTCTCTGCATGCACTTTCCAAACATGAAGCTCTGCAACTTTCAACAGATTCTTTTGTGTGTGTGTGTGTGTGTGTGTGTGTGTGTGTGTGTGTGGTGCTGGGGATTGAACCCACCCATGGCCTTATGCAAGTAAGGCAAGCAGTCTACAAACTGAGCTATGTCCCCAGCCCGTCCAACACATTGTTTAAAGGTCTGAGACCCCAACAGGTGGGCTGCAGTCTCCTTTTACAGGTGAGGAAAATGAGGCCGAGAAGGATGACTCCTCTCGGGTCACATTGCAAGCTGTATCGGATAGTTAATAAACCATGCCAGAATTCTGAAGTGTCTCCATGATTTGAAAAATATGATTCAAATTTTATCTTTCAAGTGGTAATAAGAATCACTGATACTTAGAAGCAAAACAGAGAAATGAGTTGAGTACAGAGGCTGATTTAAGATTATAACTCTTGCATAACTCTGATTTACTTTACAGGGTTATAAATGTGCATTTAAGAATTTAACCTGATAAAAGGTAATTTAAATCTTTTGCTAGAATATAGTTTCCTTTGAAAAAAGGGGCTTGCTGCTAAGAAGAAGTTTGAAAACCATTGATGAGTAGGAAGGACTCCAAGTTCACTCTTAACTATCTGACCTCGGGAGGACCTGGTGCCATGGGCATCACAAGATATAATATACTGCCAAGGGCTGCATGAGCTCAAAGTCCACAGAACCCTGATTTCCTTCCACTCAGGCCAGTGATTTGTTAACACACTCTGGTTATAAACACCCACTCAACTACCCTCATTTGTACTGAACTTTGGGTAGATCAGATGACCCCAAAGTAAAGTTTAAGGCTTGCTTAGGCATAACAGTTTTGAAAAACTTGTGATCTACATAAAAAACAACCAGTGGTGTAATGCATGTAAAAGGGATGGAGGTAAGCAGCGAGGATATGTTAAGACACCTTAGGAGGTTCTGGCATTGAAGAGATCTTGGTTTGAATGCCAGCTCTGTTCCTTACCACCCATGTGACTTTGGCTAAGTTTTTACTTTTGAACCACAATGTCCTCATCTACAAAGTGGGGATAACAAAGTATTTCATGAAACTGTTTTGAGAACATACGTACAAATATTTGACAAGGCCAGGTGATTGGTGTTTGGTGCTGTACAAATGGAGGTCACCATTCACTCATGACAGTTCTTCAAAGGTCAGATGTTGCAAGTGAAACCCATTAGTTTTATGTCATTATTATTATTATTATTGGTATTGGGGATTGAACTCAGGGGCACTCAACCTCGAACCACATCCCCAACCCTATTTTTGTAATTTTATTCAGAGACAGGGTCTCATTGAGTTGCTAAGTGCCTCACCATTGCTGGGGCTGGCTTTGAACTCACGATCCTCGTGACTCAGCCTCCCAAGATGCTGGGATTACAGGCCTGTGCCTGGTTTATGTCATTATTTTAAGTAGAAGTAGGTCTGTGTGATTATCTGAGTGACAGTAAGAAGTGGGTTCCTGTCCCACTTGGAAGAAGGCAAGGGGAGATGAAGCTGGATGAGGCTCTGTGGGGGTTATGTGGTTCTCGAACTCCTCAGGGAGAGTGTGGCCAAGGCAGACAGCCAGCTCCTGGGAGATCTGATGGGACACTTCTGAAAAATGAAATACACATCTACTAAGTAGGCGTGGAAACAGACTCTCACCCAGAGAAAACGAGTTCAAGTGCACACACTTTATTATGTACATTTTTGGGAGGGGAGGCCGAGTGGAAAGATCCCTTGCACCAGGGCTCTCATCCCAGAGCTACCTATATGCGCCCCATCCCTGCCATGTAGCCTAAATGGGCTAGGAATACACAAAGATGAAAAGCGAAGGTCATTTTGTATCTGCAGAAAGGGAAAGTCATGGAACCAAGAGCACTGTTGCTCTTCATCTGAGAAGACAGTCTCATCAGGATTCGGGGTTTCTTGGTCCTCAGTGGCCAAGGGTGAGCCCCCATCACAAAACAAACAATGCCATCATTCAAAATTCAAAATATGAATGTCCCGAGCTGAAAGGCTGCCTAGGCTTCTAATATAGCTGGGAACCTGGATACGGCATTCAAGGCTTTCTTAAAAATAAGATTGGAAATGGGGTGTAGGGGAAGGGACCATCAGAGGGCTTTTAGCTAGGGGCAGGAATCAAGAGTGGTGCCGGGAAAGGAAACTGTTATTTTTAGACTCCTGTAGGTGAATTTAGAGCCTCAGAGAGGAAGTGTCGCAAATGTCACCAGATAGCTGTCCAGGCCAGGTTGCTCAAATTTATAGGCACTTGCAAAATGGAAGGAGCTTCCTGATGTTACAGACTAAGAAACCGTGGTCCAAAGGAGCTGACCCCTTCCTCTTTCAGCATAGGCATATGTGATTGAGAAAGTACAACGAGGCGAACGAAAATCTCACATCTAACTTGACATCCAAAGCTTAACAGGGTCTGCCCCAGATCATTGGGAATTACATGCCCAATATATGGTGAATTCCTTGTACAGCTAAATGAATGGGATTGGTAATCAGAACATTTCACAAGAGTACTACAGTTAACAGCATGCAGACAGGGAAATATAATAGTTTTCTGAAGACATTTATAAAAAAGTCTCTTAGCCCTTGGTGATTCAAATGCGTATATAACAATTGTTCATAGAACTTAGAAAAAACTTTTATTAAAAAAATCAGAACTATTCAAAACCTGATATATGAAAATAGGCAAAAGTGAGAAAAAACACATTTGTTTTTATGATCATATTGTTTTTATGATCACTATTTAGCTGGCTTGAAGGAGACCACGGAGGAATCATTTACTCATGAAGGAGGCTCAAAGAAGTTAAAAATGTATCTACTATTTTCAAAGGGACTGCCCAATAGTGACTTTAAAAAGTCGTTTTCACTGATCTTGACCACTTCCTCAAACTCTGGCAATTGTAGACAAGAAAATACCTACCATCCAATGAGCATCATTTTGAAATATAGTCTGGGTTCAGAAAGTAAATGGACATTAGGAAAAATGTCCTTAAAAGATTCGCTAGAAGTAAGGCACATGCGGCCCAGAGGGGCTGGTTATAGCACAAGGACATCACTTTCTGCAAATCATGTATCCGCCAGGGTATCAGGTGGCAGTCCTGAACTATGCTCTCGCCTCTGGCCTGGCTGTTGAGAGAGGGTGCAGAACTACTCAACAGAAGTGGAAAGAAGAAGGACTTAACCTATTACAGACCAACTTACAAATGCAAACTCTTAAGTATTTAAAACGGTAGATTATCATATAAATCACCAATCTTTCTCAGTATTTATAAGCTATCAATTCTTTCATCTACTTTTATGATCACTATACATTCTAAGAACCCCATAATCCACATACATATAGAAAAGGAAAGAGGGAGGATAATCAAGGCTCCCTGCCCTACTCTTTGTGAGCTGAAGGCTAATTTGGTCCCCTACTTCATCCTTGGCAGCACAGAGCTCACCTCTGCACTGACCTAGGTGGCTCAGCGTTTTGCCCCCATGATGCCTTGCAGCATATCTATGGGCAGAGGGAAGACAATAGTCGAGTTTTTCTCCGCAGCAATGGTGGTCAGTGTCTGAAGGTACCGGAGCTGAAGGGCTGCAGGAGACTCGGTGATAACTATGGACGCTTCTTTCAGAGCTCTGGACGCATTCATTTCTCCCTCAGCTGCAATAACCTATGGAGGAGGGAGGAGAGGTCAGCTTAGAAAACCCCAGGTGCCGTCATGCAGCCATCTTCAAACTGGGGTACCTTAGGTGGTACCCAAAACTGCCCAGGATAGTTCCAAGGAAATCAACTCCTAGATTTCTACATCCTCAGCTTCTAGATTTGGTTTCCTAACTAATTTGCCTGAGGCTATGCCTGGCTCAAGACACTCTCTTTTACCAAGGACAAGTTACAATACTGTGTGGAGGTTGAGAAAGTGAGCTACTGTGAGGACTGGATACAAATCCTCTAGCAATCAGACAGCTTTCCAATGCTTTGATTTCAAAGAAAGAGAATCTTACTGAACTGCAAACTGATAGATCATTAAAAAGTAAAAATATATTTTGACGAAAGATTGCTCTATGACTTTTTACCACACTTTTTACCATGCACTAAGAATTGCATGATGTTACTTCAAACAAAACTTTACTTCTCATAAGTTTTCCTAGTTCTTATGTTTGTAAAACTAAAAAAGGGAATAAAATTGATGCTGAATTGTCATATTCTAGCAATAATAGCCATACACATAGTTATGGTTTAATTCCTCATTTGTTGCATTTAAGAGAACCATTTCTAGTAAAAAAAAAAAATGTTTCTTATTTAGGAGAAACTCTGAAACATTTTTAGAATCTTATTTATAATCATAGGAAAAATTTTAAAATGAATTCTAACATATACTAAATGTGTCACAATACGGTAGTAAAATATACTAGGGAAAGAATGTCTGGGGAGGTGGAATGGAAATATAAGCTCAAGAAGAAAAAGACACAATATACCTGATGTTAAAAAGGGTGTATCCACATATTTTTAAATAGGGGACTGAGTCATTATGTTGCTTAAATTTCATAGGATACATTTATAAGAATGATGTTAACAGTTTCACTTTAAAATGTCAATTTTTACAACATGCCAGAAATTAGATGCTTGGCAAGTACCTACATTGAAGATAAAAATTTTTACATGCCAATTTGAAGTGGAATATATAACTTTAAAATTCTTTAAGGGTTTATATGGGCAAATGTATTTGCAGATCACTGGATGGTAGAGAGAACAGGGGTTTTGGAGGGAGCTAATGATACTTAAGCTAAAATCCCAAATGTAACACTTACTAGTCGTATGTTCTCAGGGATTATTTTACATCCGAATCTCAGCTTGTTATTCTTTTTTTTTTTTTGGTGGGGGTTGGGATTGGGGATTCAACCCAGGAGCACTCAACCACTGAGCCACATCCCCAGCCCTATTTTGTATTTTATTTAGAGGCAGGGTTAGTGCCTCACTGTTGCTGAGACTGGCTTTGAACTTGGGATCCTCCTGCCTCAGCCTCCTGAGATGCTGGGATTACAGGCATGTGCCACCTTACCTGGCTCAGCTTCTTGTTCTTAAAACAAGACACAACTTATTCATAGGACCAGTGTGAGGAAGAAAGAAGGTATATAAAGGGTTACATGAATGAGTGGAAATTGCTACAAAAGAATGGCAAGTGACAAGCCAAGACCTGATCTTGGAATCCAACTATGCTTTAATTAATGCACACAAGATTTAGAATCTAAATCAAGGCTGCTAATTTCAATTCATAAGTCCTAGAAGAGGAAAAGGTACAAAAATACCATAATTATCAAGATTAAAATTGCAGTTTCACCATGTTGTCCCACAGGGATCTCAAAATACATACTTCATAGTATTTTGTGATTATCAGAATGGCAGCAATGCTCTTGTGCCCAGTGAGATTTCATTTGCTTATGCAGAAAAGTTTGGGGGCCTTCTAGGTATTAGTGAGCCCCTGCAGGAGCTGGGGGTAGAGGGCAGCAACACTGGCTTCCTACAGCTCCTAGTCAAGTAGGGGACACAGAGCTGGGACAGACCTTTTCTTTCTAGTGTGATAAATGCTGACAAAACCGTGACAAGTTGAACACTGTGAGGAAGAGGTGAGCAGGGCCAGGGCTCCCAGGGCAGTGAAGGCCAAGGTGTTTGGTCTCCGTTCTGTAGATGAGTAAACTCATCAGTTCTAGCTGGAAAACACTGAGGGGTGCTGAATTTAGAAAGGAAGAGATTGGGAGCCGTTAGTGGAACTGCTTTTGAGGGGTCAGTGGGATTCACTGGTGTTGGGGACTGGGGACAAGATGGACTGGGGAGTGATGGGAGTGGGAAACAACAGTTTCCCAGTCTTAGAAGCTGACTGGGCATGGGGAGGGAGCGGACGGGGGCTGAGTCCCAAGTTTTGAGGTTTTGATTGCACTGGAAGTGCCATTAACAGAAAGACAAGGGACAGTACTTAGTGAGAGAAGGGACGCAATTTGCAGGATAAAAACCTTATCAAGGCAAACCATTGTGTCCTAGCTAGCTCTATGAGAAGGGGCGAGTGCCAGACACACTCAAAGAGAGCTATGTAACTGTACTCCAAGGCAAGCCTTACAGAGGCCTGCATGGGAACAGCAGGCTCTGATTTTTTTTCCATCTCATCTCATATGTCCAATTAGGCACTTTTTTTTCCTCTGGACATGGACCAACTGCAAAGATATCTCATTTCCCACCACCAATCAATACACAATCTCTTGGCCAGGAAGCCAGACCACCAGGATGGGCACACATTTTGTTTGCAGAAAAGCTGCTCTAAGCAAGCTGCCAAAGACGTGAATATAACACCGCAGGCTTTGTCTAGATACAGGCTGAGTACACTCCGTTCAGCAAAGCAAGCTCCTTGTGGGTGTGTGCGGCTTTTGCTAAGCGTGCAGTAACTGCACATCAATCAACACTCCATGTTCATAGATCATCATTTTATTTCTTTCTTTGTTTTTGTGGTGCTGGGGATGGAACCCAGAGCCTTGTGCACACTAGGCAAGTACTCTACCACTGAGCTTCACTGCCAGCCACACAGATCTGACGTCTTAAATAGTAACCTTTTCACATGGGATATAATAGACTTTCCCACACAGACTACATAGACTATCAGCACTTGAAAAATCCTCAGATTCTATGAGACTGGCATTGCCTGTAACCTTCCTGAGACCAGGTGGGCTGGTCAGAGGGAAGGGAAGAGAAAAAAAGATCTTGTGTGGTTTTGCCCTCCATTCTTTCAATAGACCACTAACCCCAGAAATACAAGCTGGACAGCACGTGCCAGGCATTTTTTCTGAGAGCTATCAAAAGAAGGAAGGGAGCATGAAGCACCGTAGATGCTACATTCTGAGAATAGGTCTAAAAACTTTAAAAAGAGGTTTGACTAATGTGCAGTACAATGTGTGGAAAACTGGTCCTCTTTTGTATCTGGCTGCTTCTCCTCAAATTATGTCATCTTCTGCTATAATGTTCATTCATGTGACTCAACCACAATTTATCTCTTCACCTAGCAAGGGACATTTGGGTAGTTTCTAGTTTGTGTCAACGAGGCAGCGCTACTGTGAATCTCCCAGTGCCTGCCTTTTGGGAAACGAAAGAATGAATGAAAGCATTTCTATAAGATACATACTTACCAGGGTGGTATGCAAACTTTCAGTTTGGATAGATGCTACCAGACTCTTTTCCACACTGCTTGGACCAACAGACACTCTCCTGAGCAGTGAATTTCCAGTTCCTCTCCTGCCACTTTTAGTCCCTTTCTTACTCCCCCCTCCCCCCCACAAGCCATTCTGGTGGCTATCTAGGGTGGCATCTGCCTATAATTTGAATCTGCATTTCTCTGATGGCTAATTAACTTTTCAGGAAATTTTCTCTGACTTTTCATCTACAGGTTCTCCTAACCCCTCTCTCTGTTCCTCTGAAATTTATTTGTTGAAGAAATGATAACCCCCTATTTTCCATGAGAACATGAATTTATGCCCATGGCTTCTATTTTTGTTTTGACAATGATGGCAAACAAATTTCATTTTTAGGGCTAACTCCTAGCAGTTGAGGGTTGTTACTTAGAGTGTTACAGAAGGATTCTGAGGTCAAGCTTAGTGGAAAACGTGCTGTGCTTAATTACTAGCCCAGGAACAAGGGTGTGTATGTGTGCACAACTGGGTGAGGTATGTGTCACTTTTGGAAGACAGTTTCTGAGGATTCTTCAAGTGCTGACAGTCTATGTAGTCTGTGTGGGAAAGCATATTATTTAATATGGTTTAGAAAAGGGGCTTTTGATTAATGATAGATTCTAGTAAAAGCAATTCCTGATTTTCAGAATAATTAGACACTAATAGGGAATATTTGATAACACTGTCATAAATATAATTAGCCTTTTCAAAGGGACAGGTGTGTGTGCGCACGTGCACATGTATGGATTGAACCCAGGGCCTTGTGCAAGCTAGGCAAGCTCTCTACCACTTAGCTACATCCCCAGGCCTTTTTAAATTTTCATTTTATTTTTGAGACAGGGTCTCACTAAGTTTCCCAGACAAGCCTCAAAATTTGTGAGCCCCTGCCTCAGTCTCCTAAGGAGCTAGGATCATGATGTGTGCTGCCAGCAAGCTTGGCTAGAAGTGACAATTTTGAAAGAAGACACTTGAGGATTCTTAAGTATCTTCAGGTTATTATCATGAACACTGATGATCACATTAGGAAAACCTAAAAATTATGATTAATAGAATATTCTGGAGGCAGCATGTCAAATGGGGTACTTTTCTATTTGGTACTAAGAAATTATAGTGACCAATTTATCATTTAAAGGGCATCCTAAGAGAAGAGAAGGACAGGGTTCTGTGGCAGAGTGGGGCTGTGGGGCCATGTTAGTATATGACTTTGCCCTTTGGCCAAAGTTGGATTGAAGAGAATCTTTCTTCTGCATGTGTGCAATCAGGACTGGTTGGCCTCCTTTACTGGTCACCTGTGAATGCAGGTGAATCTTGGAGTCAGATGTCCTCCCCACACAGCTATAGAGCGATGTGGGCTCAGAAATGGGATGACCAGCTCCCTTTAGTGTTAACGCCTTCTTGTTCCTGCATCGGGTTTTGGTGAGGCCTGACTCTACTTCCTATCTTGGGGTTTGGTGAGATATTCCTATATTGTTATACATTAATGTCTCGAAGGCAAGGATGGTGACAAAGAGAAAGGAGAAAGAGCAAATGTCAGAGAAAGGAAAGAAGAGGAAGAGGTAATAGGAAGAAGGTCCTGAAAAGAGAGTGAAAGAGAAGACAGAATAAGTGAGGAATGGATGACAACAAACTGACGTGATGCCCATCTGCTCTCAAACTGTCAATCTGCCCTTGACAGTGGGCTGAATAAAGTTGGAATAAAGAATAAAGTTGGGGCTCACTGTCATGAAAAAATGAGCTGACTCTAATGGAATGATATGTCCATCAGATATTAAGGGAAAAGAGCAAGGTACAGGGCACTATGAACCCTGTGACCCTGCTTCATAAAACAAACAAGCCAATAATGCAACAACCCAGTCAAAAAAACATCTCAATACACTGATAATGTCAAGAGTGTGGCCTCTGGGGAACAGGATTTGGGGTGATGAGGGGTGCTTCCACTTTCACTAAACACTGTGGAACTGTTTTGATGTTTTACAACAAGTGTGTTTTACTGTATTTGAAATTTAAAATTTCAGTAAGAAAACAAACTAAGGGCAAAAAGGAGGGAGGGGAAGGGAGGGGCATGGGGGTAGGAAAGATCGTGGAATTACCCTAAGTACATGTATGAAGACACAAATGTTGTGACACTACTTTGTGTACAACCAGAGACATGAAAAATTGTGCTCTATATGTGTACTATGAGTTGAAAATGCATTCTGCTGTCACGTATAATACATAATAAATAAATTAAAAAAAGAAAAAGAAACTAAAATAAATAAATAAAATAATGAATAAAAGAAAAACAGCCCAGAAAGCATTACCTTGGCTCGAGCCTCCCGGGACGCTTCTGCCTCGGCAGCCATAGCTCTCTGGAGCTGCACGGGCAGCTTCACATCCTTAATTTCCACACGCTCCACCTTTATTCCCCAGTCGTCGGTGGCATCATCCAGAGTACACTGTCAGGAGGAGAGAAGGCAAGTAAATGTGGTCAGCCCAGCCCAGCCCAGATGGCTGCACCCATTGGGATGTGGAGCAGATAAGGTGCTGGGGGAGAGTGGCAGAGGAAGGGTTAACCTGCAGTGGAAGGAATATGCTGGGGAGGGACTGGGTCACTGGAGAACTGACCCTGACTTGGCTGCTAATAAGCTAATGCAGGGCTTGGCATGCTTCTTCTAGCAGGGCCGCACAAGATTCGCTTCTTTGCAGTCTGGTCACAACTGTTCAACCCGCTGCTCCAGGTCAATAGCAGCCATGGGAATACACAAGGGAATGCACGTGGCTGTATTCCAATGAAACTTTACTTTCAGAAACAGGTGGCCAGGCTGGGGGCTACACATATGACCCTAAGCTCATGTGTAAACCATATTACTTCTTTGTGTTTCACTTTCCTCCTTTAAAAAGGCAGAAATGAAACCATATTATTTCATAAGGTTGTGGAGAGTATCAAATGAGATTTGACCCACAATGAAGTCAGTACAAATAGTAAGAATTCAGTCTTTTAACTCTTTACTTAACATCTTCTACTCAAGCAAGATTGGGACTCACACACAGAATAAAGCTTCAATACCTGCCTGCCTTGCAGGACAACCTCTGAACTATTATGCTTAAATAAAAAGATTAATACTGATACAGGAAAAAAGAAATACAAAAGTATATGTATAAAAACGACACTTGTGTCAGGGTGTTATGAACCCATGAACTCTAAGTGTGAAAAGCATCTCCTTCCATCAAGCCTGAGGAACCTTACTATGAAGGTTAAAAAAAAAAAAAAAATAAGGCCAGATTCTCACACAACCACCAGCGCTTTGCTTTGGTTTCCAGTCTCTAGTGGGTGCATTCCTTACCTGCATGTTGTGTGCAATTTCTTCTCTGTCAGAGAGGATCTGAGAAAGGTTCTTGGTGCCCAGAACATTCCTGAGAGTAGTTTGTGCCAAAAGACGGGTGGCTGAGTCTGCGTTGGTGATATTTGCCACAGCCAGGGTGGCATTCTGAACGCGGTAATAGACCACCCCATCCACGCTGATGGTCACCGAATCCTTTGTGAGGATCTGCAAGATGACGGAAGCAATTCTACATCTGTCAACCAACCATTTCCTAATTGTAAGAAATGTTATCCATAGAGCATGGTAGAATGCTAGCTGATTTTCTTTAATAAAGTATCAGAAAGTTATCTCCAGAAACTTAATAAAACATACTCATTTATTCATTAAGTCCATTAATTCCTTCAGTCAGTCAACATACTTTGAGATGCCACTCAATAGCAGGAACCAGATTAGGCATAAAGGTATGAAAAATCTTGGCCACTACTTTTAAGGCTGTGGGGGAATCAAGGAGGCTTTAAGAGATGAGATGGGAACTTATTCACGCAGGGGTGAAAACTCAACTGAATCCACACATACTTTGTGATGCCAGAAATCACTTTTACCCACAACAAGCCTGAGAACTCCACATTATTCTCTGCATTTTTTTAAAGCCATCTTTCAAGGAAGATTGACTCTCAGAAGGAATAAATAAATGGAATGAATAAAAATGTTCTGAGGGTGGAGCAACAAGGGTTCAAGGCAGAGAATCATGTGTGAAAAGACACAGAGGCAGGAAGGAGCCAAGTTCTCACGAACCACAAGTAGCACAGCATAACTGGAACAAAAGTGCATGAGGAATGTTTATAGGGCAAGGTCAGGGAAAGAGTATATTCACAGCCAGGAACGGTGGTGCACGCCTGTAATCCCAGCAACTGGGGAGGCTGAGGCAGGAGGATTACAAATTCAAGGCCAGCCTCAGCAAGTTAGTGAGACCCTGTCTCAAAATAAAAAGAGCTGAGGGTGCAGGTAAGTACAGAGTGCCCCTGGGTTCAATCCCCAGTACATCAAAAACAACAAAACATATGTCTAGATTTACAGCTCGATACATAAAAATGCTTAACATGGCAGAACTCTGTTTTGAACTAAAATGTTTTCTGAGTGAGAGGCACCAGGAAAACCTCTCTGGGATTCAGTTTCCTCACTTATATAGTGAAGACTAATAACAGTACCTGCTTCCGAAGACCATTCTTTGAATTAGTGCATTAATCCATTATTCTACCATAATCTATTAACCATTTGAATTAGTGCTAAGAATAGTGCCCGACACATGACAAGAGCTATCTTTATTATTATTTTTTTTCCTCTTAAATAATGATGCTAACCGAATTAGGTTCAACACTGACCTTGTTAGCTGTAAGAAGTTAAACAATGAGGAAAAAAGCCATTTCAATTTGTTTGGAATTCATCCCCAATACAGCAGGTTGACTTAAGATAGTTCAGCTTATTTATGAGGTTCAAAATCAATAGGTGTTTAGTAGAAACTGAAGTTCAAATTTTGAATTCCGTCCCACGATATGCAGTGTCATGTGAGTCTCTTATGACCCTGAGGAGCACAGTGAGCTGTAGCTCTCAGTTGGCCCAGGACCATGAGGCAAAACACCCGATGACTCCCTGTAGCATAGGGGTTACTATGTGGCTCAGTAGGGTGGATGTCTTAAACGCACAATATTTTCAACTTGTTTATCGGGATAAAACTGGGCCATGTAAAGAAGCACCTGTAACTATGCAAAAATGGTCTTGCAACTTCAGCCCTAATTCAGTTATCTCTGACACAAATGCTTCAATGGCTCCCTACCACCTTCAAGACAAAGTCCTTTGACATCTGGCCCTATAATACCTCTCTGCTCCTGCACACTTCATATCAAGCCACATATGGGTTCCCTGTATACGCCAAGTTTGTGTCCCAAGGCCTTTATGCTAGTACTGTCCTCTGCTTGGCTATCCTCTGCTCTGTCCCTCACAAAAAGAGACTGGCATGTTTCTAGTCATCATTCAAGTGTCCCTCTCTGTGCAACTTCCCAGCCCCACCTGCCAGAGTCAGCACCCTCCCCTGCACATCCGCTGCACTGTGCTGGAGTAACATTGTTTAATGGTCCCTCCACTTCTATAGTAGACTGTGCATTTCTTGGGGGAGGTTTTTCTTTGTATCTCCAGCACTGGCAGAGCGCTTGATACATGGCAGGTGGTCAGGAAGTGGGAGATGAACCAAATTGAAATGTGGTCTCCGGAAGAATGACGGGTGAAAAGCACAGGTGGGAAGTCCAAGCCCTGGACTGTGCTTCCAGCTCTCTGTATCTGCCCCCGCCCCCACCCAGGTGACCATTAGCAGTACTTTAAGCCTCTGACCTAGACATCCCTCTGTGGGGCTAATAGTAACTGCCCAATTCTACCCAAATTTCTGTTAAGATTAAATAAGGGGCTGGGTTTGGAGCACTTGACTGGCATGCGTGAGGCTGGGTTCGATCCTCAGCACCACATAAAAATATAAATAAAATAAAGATATTGTGTTGGGGGGGTGGGGGCTGGGGTTGTGGCTCAGTGGTAGAGCGCTCACCTAGTACATGCGAGGCCCTGGGTTCGATCCTCAGCACCACATAAAAATAACTAAATAAAGATATTGTGTCCAACTAAAAAATAAGTATTTTAAAAAAGATATTGTGTCCATCTACAACTAAAAAAATATTTTAAAAAAATTTTTAAAAAGATCAAAAAGAAAGACATTTGTGAACAAAGCCCTTTTGAAACTGCAAAAGAGCCGTGTAAATAGAAGGTAATTACAATCATGTTGCTATGTAGCTGTTTGGCCCTGCCAAGCATCAAAGCAGTCATCTTTTTTTTTCTGTAATCTAAAAATACCTATAACTTGGAAGAGAAATGAGGGATTTCAGTATATTACCATCTTGTGTCAAAATTATTTCCCATGATGTGATGAGAAAACGAGTGTCACTCCTAAACAGATTCCTGCCACTGCGACTCTGCCACAGCTGCTCTCAAAGCAGCAGCTTCTCGACTGTTTATGACTGTTTATGGCAGGCAGAGTGTTTATCTTCCTTCACAGTAAGTTCACAGGGGATCAGCAAAAGGAGAGCTTGCCAAGTTCCAATCCGCTCTGGCTCAGCAGCCTGCAGGGAGGAGAGCAGCTGGAAGGCAGAAGCTCCCAGCAACCCAGCCAGATGCCTGCACTGTTTACAGAGGAAAATGCCAGAATTCTCAGCAACCCTGGAAGGGGCTCCTTCTGAGAGTCAATCTTTCTTGAAAGATGGCTTTTAAAAAAAAATGCAGAGAATAATGTGGAGTTCTCAGGCTTGTTCTTAAAGATGTGGGTAAAAATGATTTCTGGCTTCATGAAAAAGTCTGACCTCACCAACTATGTGGATCAGTACCAACAAGGGAGTCCCTGAGTGGGTTTCTGCCTTTTGTGACAAGAGAAGGCAATGTGGCCAGGTTCTGTCATCATGCTAAGGATCTGGCCTGTGGCCAGGAAACACAGACAGTACCATTCCATCCCTCTCTTCACCAGATTCACAGGTTTTTTTGTCTGCAATGGTGACGGTGCCTCCTGAAACATGGGTCCCAGGACAGCCATCGCTTCCCCAAGGCCAAGGTGGAGCTAATGTAGAATGCATTTAGCCCTGGACATGGAATCTGAAGGGCTGGAGTTCAGTCCTCATTCTGCCCTCTGTTCTGAGGGATTCTTTTGTCTCACTGCAACTATATACTTTCTAGGGATTCTGTTGTGTCAACTGTGACAATATTTGGAAAGAAGTAAAAAAAAAAAAAAAAAGCACAAAATAACTACCAATATATCTAAAATGCCAAGTGAATACTTCTCATTGTTTGGCTTCTAACCAATTTATCTAGAATAAAGTCAAGAACCTTAAAAAGGAAAAATATTGGGGCTGGGGTTATAGCTCAGTGGTAGAATATTTTCCTAGCATGCATAGGTCCTGAGTTTGATTTCCAGTATCACACATGCACACACAAAAGAATGATGAACTAGGACTGGGATTATGGCTCAGTGGTAGAGCACCTGCCTAGCATATACGAGGCACTGGGTTTGACTCTCAGTACCGCATATAAATAAATGAATAAAATAAAGGTCCATCAACAACTAAAAATAAAATTTAAAAAATATTAAACTAAATAGGATTTTCTACCTGAAACCTATAGAGAATTGTGATAGTAAAATCATGACAAGAATGATGGTTTTAAGCATTACACTTCCATTATCATTACACTGTTTTTTAATAATAATAGCAAGTAACATATAGTGTTTGCTCTTTATTGGATGCTGTCCTAAGCACTTCACATATACTATCTCACTAGCTTTCATCATAACCCTATAAAGTTGACCCTACTATTATAACCTTCATTTTATAGATGAGGAAACTGAGACACAGAAAGATCTTGCTCAAGGTCATGGAGGTGGAAAAGGGGAAGACAGGACTGAAAGAGCATGCCTCTCAGTGGAAAGCACACTCCCACGTGATCCCTCATTTAGCCACACAGAAGACAGCCTCACCTCCTGAGGAGGAATGTCAAAGGAGATGGTTCTCATGTCCACTTTGATGAAGCTGTCTGTGCAGGGAAGAATAAAAAACAGACCTGCAAGAAAGATGCACAGAGCATAGAATCAACCTCATCAATGGAAGCCACCAGCCCATCTTAGTGCAAGAGCCAGAAGCCTGACTCCTCTTGCTTACTGCTCACTCTGATTGTCCCCACTAGGGCTCTATACCACTGCTGCTGCACCTCTTCCTTCACTTGGATCAGTGTGATTGCTCCCAAAGCCACCTTTCTCTCCCACAACCCATTTCCTAAGCTGCAAGCAGAGTGCTCTTTCCTAGGATACAAACCTTGCCCCATCCGTGCTCCTGCATGACCTGCTTGGGCTCACCTGCTCAGCCAGGTCCCTTCTCTTCATCTCCTGCATTCTGACAGGACTGAGCTGCAGTACTTCCTCCCTACACTGCTACACACTTGTTGCTATTTCTGCCGGGAACAGTCAACACCTTCATGTGCCTCGAGACTCAGCCAAGCTGTCACCCCCAGAAAGCATGGTGTCACCTATTCCTAGTTTGGGGCAGTCACTCTCCTCTGAGTTTCTGTCTTCTCAGGGCTCTGTGTAGCTACTTGATAATAGTACTTATCATGTAAAATGTACTAGCTGTTTCCTTCTTGGTGTCCCACTGCTAGATAATAAGATCCTTGAGGGGAGGGACCATGTTCTAGCCTCCCTTAAATTCCCAGAGCCTAGAATACACAGGAGCACCATCAACATCTGCCAAAGGAATAACTAAAAGACTTTCTCTGGTAGAATTCTCTGCTCAGACGTCCACAGCTATAGCTACTCTGGCTCAAGATAATCTTATCAGCTCCGATGATGGGGAACAATAGACTGGCTCTAGAACCGTTGCTACTGAAAGGCCACTTCTGCTCTGCTCCCTGAGAAATCACATCAGTAAAAAGAACTACAGTCTCCAGAAAAGCAACCCAGAATCCCGGGACTTACCAGGTCCTTTGGCTCCTCCTTGTAAAATACGACCCAGTCTAAAGATGATGGCTCTTTCATACTCTTTTATAATCTGGAATAAAAACACGGACGATAATTTAACATGAGTGCAAACATTTATATGCATAGCTTCTTAAATATATTTTTGTTCTAAAAAGGTTAGACGCTTCATTATTTCTTCCTCTATATCCAGATGATGTCTATAAATAATATGTTTGATGTTGTCCAATGCTCTCCAAGCATATTCATTTACTATTTTTGACTGATTATAAAAACAATAGACACTCATTGTATAAATCTGGAAAGTACAGAATAACATATGGAAATAAATTCTTTACCTTACTCTTCAGTCATTAATATTATTAATCAATTACTCATTTATTTAGAAAAAGAACTTATTGTTTTTCTTCCAATACCTTTGTTTTAATTAATTAATTTTTTTTCCAGTGCTAGGGATTGAACCCAGATGCCCTACCACTGAGCTACATTAATGTAGCTTTAAAATTTTTTTTCTTAAGGCAGGATCTTCCTAAATTGCTGAGGGTGGCCTTGAACTTGTAATCCTCTTGCCTCAGTCTCCCAAGTATCTGGGATTATAGGGCTGTGTCCCTGAACCCAACACTCTGATACTTTTAATTATAATAATACATTTATCTGAGAATGCTTGGAGCCTATGTTATATTTTTAGGATTATGTAAATAAAAATCATTTATCCAAGAATTAACAACTTTGTAGAAAAAAAAAAAAAAACAGCATGAGAGCACTTTACCATGTGCCAGGCTCTGCAGTAAGTACGGTTTAGCACACTAGTTCATTTAACTGTCACACCTGCAGAGTAGATACTGTTATTTCTCCCATTTTACAAATGAAGAAACATGGCAAATATTTCCAAATGATTCCCTTTCCTGTATATGAAATAGTTTCTGATTACAAAAGGCAATGCGTGCCTCACATGGTAAACAGCAGAGCCAGCAGTCAAACACCGCCCCCCCAACTCTGGAGAACTTGTTCTCAAAGGCCACCTCAAACCCCTGACCCAGAATTCCACCCGCTGCTCCCTGCCATGGCATTGGGGATGGCACCCAGGGCCTCCTGCATGACAGGCAAGCACTTGACCATGGAACTACATCCCAAGCCCTGGCCCAGAAAATTTTTAATGATGATCCACACAGACAAAGCAGGCTTACATAGGAAGGAGTTTAACCCCTTTGCTGATATGAGTGAAATGTTCTTTTACCTTTATGCACATCCATATTGATATGGGAAAAGTTATAAGCGTGAACAGGAATGAGACAGCCACCAAAATCCATCCACAAGGTCCAAGGCCTGTATTGGGGCTATCTGTTGAAAACAATAACAGAGCAGCTCTTCTCACTGTTATCAGCCTGATCACCCCCAGCTTTGTCCCTGCTATTCGTGAACCTCATGTGCTTGGCCTTCTGCCCACTGCTTCACACGAACTTTCCCGCTCAATTCCCATTCACCTCTGAAATGCAGGTATATTACCTTCCCTGGTCTACTTACCACCAGTACTTCCCCACATTACTCGTTACTTTCTCCAGCAAACATTTATTAAGCACCTCCTATTTCCTCTGCCCTGTGCTTGATACTAAAGCAGTAACAATAAATAAACTCAGTCCCAGCTCCCAAAAAGGTTCATGTACAGTGGGGAAGAAAGAAAGAATTAATTATAATCCTAGGGAGTAAGTATAGAGTATCTGTTAGGAATATCTTGAAAACACAGAACAGGGCCACGCACAATACAGGTGACAGTGGAGTGGGATGGTGGGGACAATGGTAACTGTTGTCCCTCTGAGGGCTTCCTGAAGAAAGGAAAAGTATGGAAAAAAAGGAAGAAGGAAGGAAAAGGGCACTTGAGTCCAGGGTATAGCATTATATATATTATATATGAAAAAAATTGTGCGGAGCTTCTTTTTAAAAATTACACCAGCAAAATATGTCACTGGGTCTATGAACCATCATTTATTATCCATATCCTGATCTTCACAAAGGTTGCTTCTGATTCCCAACTACTGAAAATAAGGCTGTAATGAGCATTTTCCTACACAGTCTTCTGCCCACATTTCAAACTGTTTCCCTTCTCTGTGTGCGTAAGAGGGTATCTGTCTGGTTCCAGAGAGTAACACACACCCTACTGCAAAAAAATTCAGAAAAATAATAGTGAGAAAAGATACTCAAAATCTAGAGATAAGAAATGCTCTGGTGCATTCTTCTAAACCTTTTCCTTGTACATACAACCATATTTTAAAATCAAATAAAATCTATAAGCTACTTTTCTCTCCCTTTGTTATGTTCTTTTACCTCCTTTTTTTAGCCTCTGTAGCTGTTTTGTACTTTTCCTGTTTTTGTTTTAATTCTTTATCAAAGTTACACTTGCATAATATTTAAAAAGTCAAACATTCTACAAGATAAATGAAAAAGGGCCGTCCCTGCTTGCCTCTTCCCATTTCTTCCATCTCAAAAGTAATTGCTCTTTTGGCGAAGTATTTTGGTATTTACTTTCATGCTTTTAAATAATGTGTGTGTGTGTGTGTGTGTGTGTGTGTGTGTGTATTTTTTAGTACTTCTTGCTTTATCAGTTTTTTAAAAGTATTTTTTTAGTTGTAGATGGACACAATACCTTTATTTTGTTTACTTTTATATGGTGCTGAGGATTGAACCCAGTGATTCACACATACAAGCAAGTGCTCTACTGCTGAGTACAACCCTGGCCCCTGCTTTTTCAGTTTTAAGAATTATCTATTAATTTTCCTCTATGGAGAAGCATTTAGTTCTTTTCCTTCTCCTTCCCCCACATGCACAAACTCACTCTCCTGTAAGTACATCATCATTTTGGTTACATGTATATAAAATGTTTCATTATCATGAATATGTAAATGCTATTCAAAGCTAACTCAGACAGTATAGATAATCAGCTTTCTTTTTTTTTTTTATATATATATACCTTTATTTATTTATTTTTATGTGGTGCTGAGGATGGAACCCAGTGCCTCACATGTGCTTGCTAGGCAAGCGCTCTGACACTGAGCCACAACCCCAGTCCCTGATACTTACCTTTCTTTTCCTGTACAACTTTTTATTTTTACTTTTTGTAATGTTTGGTTTTCCCCTTGCTTAGTCTTCTAGGTACTTTTCCCTGTCCAACCTCAAGCCCTTCATCCTTGTCTGAATCTCCTTCCGAAACAGTCAGGTAGTCTACTGATATCTTCTTCTGAAGGAAGTCTCTGGGAGCCTGGTGCAGACTCCTCTCATCAGGTCTATACAGTCATCATTCTGCGACTGCCCTGTGCTGTCATTCTGGGAATTCACCTTTGCCTCTTGTGTTGGGTTTTGTATTTTCTACATCTAGTGTAGAAAATGATTTTCAGTTTGTTTTTCCTTTCTTGGAGACTATAGGAACTGAGAAGGCCAGATTGATTTTTTAAGGCTTTTCTGCCATTTTTTCAGGAGCTGTTTTGATGACACAAGTTTGACAAGAAGGGAAGAGGCAGGCCTCCATGTGTACTACTTAGAAGGAAGTGCAAAAAAGCAGTGAGACAGGCTTTGGAAAAACAGGAGACCAAGAGATATGCAGAGGGTGTAGGCCAGGAGCATGGGAGAAGAGGGGGCCCATGCTGGCTCCCAGGGCAAGTGCTCTGGAACACAGGATTAAAAAACAAAACAAAACAAAACAAACAAACAAACAAACAAAAAACCACCCACTGAGAACCTTGGTCATATTGAATTTGTAATTTTTGATTCTATGTCAGAGAGAGGTTAGTGTCCTCATGCATAAAGTAAAATAAATTAATCCTGGAGGTTATTAAGCTATAGTTTTGGGGATACAGACATTCACTGAGCAAATATTCAAAGTTGGGCCTCTGCACTCTTGTGGAGAAAGCCCTGTCAGGCATTATCACAACTGATAACACAGGAGCGGATCGCAAGGGTGTTCTATACCCTAGGCATTGTGTAAAGTTACTTGAGACATGTGTATCATTTAACTCTCACAATAGCCCTGTGAGGCTAAGTATTTTAACCAATGATGTAACGAAGCAATCTCACTTTCCCAAGGTCACCTAACAGAGTACTGGGGATTCAAAGAGAAGTCACTGACTCCAAAGCTCCTGTTCTAAATCTTGATCTTTCACCACTGAATTGAAAGACCTCATTAGGGATGTTTTCAAGTTGGGAGCACTCTCTTGAGAAAGGGTCCAAACTGGGATGGCACGGCAGGAGTTTCGAGAATGAAATCTAATATTCTTCGGAGGAAGCCCTTTTAATTCCAGCTGTGCCTATTTATAGTAAAAGACAGATAGATTCAAGGCTCTGTGCCAGGCTCTGGTCTAGATTTTGAGTGAAACAGATTCCAAACAAGCAACAGATTGGCCACAAACACTTATCTGACAGCATTTGGTGCTTTCCAAACTACTGCCTCAGGTCTCCCATATTCTAGGCAAAGTATATAGCTCTGTGTCCTGGAATTACTACACTGAAGACCCCTGAGGGCAGAGATGGTTCTTTTCTTTTTTCTTTCATTTTTGGTGCTGGGGATCCATCCCAGGGCCTTGTGCGTACTAAGCATGAGCTCTACCACTGAGCTATACCCAGCACTTTTTGCCTCTTTCTGTATTTCCAATGTCTAGCACAGTGTCCTGCAGAGAGTGGGCATAAAATAAGATACTTCTTAACCAGCTTTCCAGCTAGATGTGTTTTTTTTTCTTTCCTCCAAATCCTGACAACACTTAAAAAAAAAAAAAAACCTCTCTATGGCACTTAAATTTTGGCTGATACTTTAATTTCTTGTGTATTTATATCTCTCCTTAGACTGAGCTTTCCTGAGCACAGGGAGTGTGTCTAGGTTTGAATTTCAAATCTGCAGCTTCTTAGTTGTCTGATCTTTACTTCTTTGAGCCCTAAGTTTCTTCAACTGTATATAAAAAAAAAGGGATAATTAGGCTGGCCTTATAGAATTGAGATAGTCCTCAGTAAATATAGATGATAGTTTTCTGTAATCCTTCCATTTGACTCAAGTGTTTAAATCACCATAATGAAAAATGGAAAAAGAGTGCTCTACCACTGAGCAACATCTCAAACCCTTTTCATTTTTTATTTTGAGAGAGAATCTCCCTAAATTGCCTGGGCTGGCCTTGAATTTGCAATTTTCCTGCCTCAGCCTCCTGAGCTGCTGGAAGTATTAGCATGTACCACTGACCTCAGGACACTTGAGATATATATATTTGGTATCAGGGATTGAACTCAGGGGCACTCAGTCACTGAGTCACATCCTTAGCTCTGTTTTGTATTTTATTTAGAGACAGGATCTCCATGAATTGCTTAGCGCCTCGCTGGCTTTGAACTCACAACCCTCTGTGTCAGCCTCCAGAAGAGCTGGGATTACAAGCATGCGCCACTGCACCTGGCTGACTTTTTATTTTATTTTTTTAATGAAACTTCTTAAATGACTTTATTTGCCCCTTGCTTAATGCCATTCCCAGCCAGCATAGAATTGGCAAAAATACTCAATAAGCACATTACAAAGAGATCCACAGGGGACAAGACAGAAAGATCAGGCAAATTTGTTCTGTGCTGTGTTCATTGTCACACTGTGTTCATTGTCACATGTGTCACACTGGCTCAGTGGCAGAGCGCATGCCTCACACGTGTGAGGCACTGGGTTCAATCCTCAGCACCACATATAAATAAATAAAAAAGAATGGTATATCAACAACTAAAAAATATTTTTTAAAAAAAGCATAAGGGATTGCAAATCAAGAGGAACAAGAAGTGACATGGATATTGTGAAAACTGGGCTTGCTTCTTCACACAGCAGACACTCTAGAATGTGCACATGCTGGGGAAATGACATTTTCTTATTCTCCTAATGCCTTCACAACAAAACTACCCCATTCGCAACCCTCACAATCCTTCCCAAACTGGTTACAGCTAAAAAAGGTGCTTAAACCACATTCCCAAGAGGTGAGACTTAGACACTGCAAGGCTGATAAGTGAACCTCAGTCACCTGCCATTCTTCCTTACCCACCCAGAGAGGAAGATCCACTCTCAGTCATTTCATGAAATTCCTGCCCTTCAAGTTTCCCACTCACTACTTCAGAAGTGAATCCTTGGTAACAGCTTTACCAGGTAAATGACAACAGGCAATCAGTATTCCTGAGATATTTTGGTTGATATACTTGTCAAGTTAGCCAGGTGCAATACTCTTAAAGATTGGGGATCTGATGATACTAGGTTGTAAATACTACTTTGCTAGGTTTAGAGCATTTTTTTTTCCTGCCAAGATCTTTCCTGAAAGCTGCATTAGAATAAATTTTTGGCCAAT